CTCTCCCAAATGTCGGGAAACTAGATTTGAATCCACAGACTATTCTTTTATGTGCTTTCGTTTAGCACTACTTCACTCTATTGTCTTTCTCTTTTTTCTAATAAAAGATTCCATGAAAAATATATAAAAAACATATTCTATATTTTTCAATGTATTCATGAAATCTTTTATTCCCTCTCGACGATTTCAGGTCAAGCCTCACTCTTCTCCATGGTTTTTCTCACATTGTACTGCTGTAATTTCCGATCAAAAATGTTACTCCCATATTTATCAGCAAAAGAATTCTCCACAAAACAGACATCTGTTTATTACTGCTAGGAACCATTGTAAAAAGGTTTTGTCTAACGCCAATGCCGTCTATTCCCAGGTCATGAAATCTAGTATTTCATTACAAAAATTAGGCTCTCGTGACTTCTGGAGTATCCTTAATAGTATCAATAGTAAGGGCAAATCTGTAATTCCACCTTTCTTGTATGGTTCAGACTTAGTCATCTCATCTAAAGACAAAGCTGAATTGTTTGCCAAGAACTTTTCATCAATATCATCTCTTGATTCCACTAGTTGCGTTCTACCTGATATAGCCAACAAACAGGTTGATTAATTGCTTGACGTTTGTATCACTCCAGCTTCTGTTTCTAAAGTGATTTCCTGCTTAGACTCTTCTATAGCTTTTGGTCCGGAAAACATACCTGTTATATTCTTGCAGAAGTGTTCTCCGGAGCTGTCGTCTATCCTTTCAAAACTATTTAACAAGTGCTTATCAAAGTCTTGTTTTCCAGCCAGCTGGAAAGCAACATCTGTTATTTCTATTTTTAAAAATTCTGGAGAGCGATCTGATTTGTTTAACTACCGTCCCATTAGTCTTCTTCCTATCATAAAAGGTTTTTGAATCTTTAATTAACAAACACTTAATCTCTCATCTTGAATCTAATAATTTACTTTCGAATCACAAATATAGATTTTGATCTTCTCGTTCTACAGCTGATTTGCTAACAGTAAAACCCGATAGGTTCTATCATGCATTAGATTAAAGTGGAGAGGTCTTGACATTTATAAAGCTTTTGATAAGGTTTGGCATGCTGGACTTCTCCATAAGCTTTCTTCTTACGGTGTATCTGGTAAAATCTTTAAGATTATTGAATCCTTCCTTTCCAATTGTATTATAAAAGCTGTACTCGATGGACAGCACTCTTCTTCATTTTTCGTAACTTCAGGGGTTTGTCAAGGTTCAATCCTTGGCTCTTTACTCTTTTTAATTTACATTAACGATCTTTCAGATGTTCTCACATCTAAGGTGGCATTGTTCGCTGATGATTCTACCATTTATTCTTGTCATAATAAAAAGCCAATTCTCTTTGATTACTTGGAGGGAGCATTTGAGCTTGAAAAAGATCTCACTTCTGCTACAGCAGAGAGGGCTTACAGTGGGGATTACAGTAGCTGGTTAACTTTAATTCAAATAAAAAGCAATTTTTTTCAGCCAATTGTTTTCGTAATAATTTAGATCTTCCTATATTTATGAATAGTAATGTACTCGATGAGTCATCTACCCTTCATCTTCTAAGATTAAGTTTTAGTTCCGATCTTTCTTGGAAACCGTATATTAAATCCATTGCAAAATTAGCATCTGTTAAGGTAGTATCTCTTTATCGCGCTCAACACTTTCTTATTCTTTATCGAGCTCGACACTTTCTTACTTTCTTCTAATCTCTATCTGTATAAATCTCAAATCCGGCCTTGTATGGAATACTGATGCCATATCTGGGGCGGATCTTTTAACGATGCCTTTTTCCTTGTAGGTAAGGTGCAGAAACGCATTGTAAACATGTTGGACCTGCTCTTGCAGCCAACCTCTAAACATTATTACATCTTCGTAATGTTGCTTTTTTTTCTCTTTTCTACAAATACTATAATGGGCACTGTTCTAAAGAGCTAGTACCTTTTGTGCCATCTACTAAAATTCATTCTTGTGTTACTCGTTATTCAATTAAGTCTCATCCTTTTTCTGTGACCGTTCCTAAGTGCTCCAAAACTCTCATTCGTCTAGATTTTTTCTTCGAACATCACTTCTTTGGAATTTCTTTGATTTTTCTTTCCTGATTCATATAGTTTGCAATCTTTTAAGTTGTTCTGTCGTTACCTTGCTGTACAATCTTTTTTCTTCCAGTGACTTTCAACTCTAACAGTTAACTCTAACTGACTGAAAGTGACTTCCAACGCTAACAGTGGTTGCTTGTAGTCTTGTTAAAAACAAAAAAGTTAAAAAAAAAAAAAAACTGAAGATCAATTGTCAAGGGCTCTGCCTTGTCTCAGAAACTTATTGCAATTGCAGTTGATGAAAGTCATTGTGTAAAAAAGTGGTAAGTAATTTTGTTATATAAATAAATTTGCTATGTAAAGTAAACATTGGTATTACTAACTTTTTTTTTACTAATGTCAAACCTTTTTGTAGAATATAAAATTATTTTAAAGTTCGCTCATTGAAAATAAAGATAAAATAAATGCATTACCTATAGCATTATATAAGCAACATCTTGTGATTTACATGGTTTTATTTATACCTAATTTGTCTATGATTGTTATAGGGAAAGTTTAAGTGCACAATCAGATGCATTTCAGTCTCAATATAATAGGCTCTAAGAATTGCAACTGCAACTAAAATTACTGTTGAATTTATTATTGATAACCTTTGTATGCATAATTTGGTTCTACAACAGAAAAAAGTAACATTAAGTACAGTAACATTAAGTACAGTAACATTAAGTACAGTAACATTAAGTACAGTAACATTAAGTACAGTAACATTAAGTACAGTAACATTAAGTACAGTAACATTAAGTACAGTAACATTAAGTACAGTAACATTAAGTACAGTAACATTAAGTACAGTAACATTAAGTACAGTAACATTAAGTATAACCTAATACCTATTGACTCTGGAGATCCAAAGAAATTTTTCTACACAGTTTTTCAAGATATTCTTTTGAATATTTATACAGCTAAAAGAATATTAGCTTTTTCTACAACTATGGCTGATGTAAGATCAATTTATCAATTCTTTCACAAAGAAGGAGAAAAATATTAAAGCTATTTTGATAGACCATATGATCAATTTCATTCCAAAACATATGGCATCTCATTTTGCAATATAAGGTCTGCTCGATTTTTGGTTGTAACTATTGCATTTGGAATGGGGTTAGATTGCAAAGGCCTTCATTTTAATCCATTATGGACCACCTTATAGCATTGACAGCTATTTTCTAGAATCAAGGCAGGTTGGTAGAGATGGCCTACAGAGTAATGCTACTCTTATAGTCTACCCAAGGTGTCTTGCCTCTCTAAACGTTAGCTTTGCTGTAAAAGCATATTGTTAGAATATAGAAATATATCACAGGTCAATGCTACTAAAATAGTTTTCTGCTAAGGAACATAAATTGACCCGATCTATGATTGATGTGGTATCTGTGATAAAATATGCTTATGTTGCGGTAGTTATTTTGTGTTTAAAAAACAGTGGTGGAATACAGTATTAACAAAAGCTCTTTTAAAACCTGTCGAATTGCAAACAGAACTTAGTTTTAGATGAAAAAAGATGCTACAAAAACAGTTATTAGAAATTCGCTCCACACTTGTTGGAAATAAGAATACTTAAAATGGTTCTCATATCTCATCTGGATTTTCAATGGCAGGCATTGCACAAGTTATTGGTATAGAATACTTTAAAATGAAAAAAGAAGACTTAAGAGAAAAGACCTGTATTTCTTACGAAGATGTATTTGGTTCTATTTTAAAAGCAGTTTTTGAATTATTTTCAGAATATGAACAAGAAGTTTTATTTATAAAGTGGAAGTAGTTCATCCTCTGAAAGCAGCATAAGTAGCTGTTCATCAGATATTATAGAGGATTTGCACGCAAAAGTTTTATTGACAATTATTTTTAGAAACATACTTTAGTTGATTTATACTTTTATTTATAATTAATACTATTAAAATAGCTAGTCCAAATTTAATTAAAAACTATGCCAGCCTCTGCTATTTTTCCCTTTTTGTCCAATATATTAATTTTCATAGAACCATTATCATAGGTTGAATACTTTTGCTTGATATTATGAAGACATAAAATGCACACGTTTAATACACTAGGAGTTAAGGAAACCAGCAAGACAAAATGTTTGAATTAAACAAAATTAAATTAGAATTTAGTTTAACTGAATTTGGTCACTACTTGTGAGTAGAAAAAAAAAATGAATTTATTATTATTTTTATTAATCTGCAATCAGAAAAAACATCAATTTGAAAGTACAAAATACGGGTTTACAAAATATATTCGACGTATCTTAAATTTGATAAAACGGGTTGATAATTTATAATTTACGGGTGTAATAAACTTTTAAAAAGTAATAAACTTTTAAAAAGTTTATTATTATTTACTTTTAAAAAGTTTATTACCCCCGGCCTTAAATCTGCTAAATGTAAATATTTTTCCCCATTATTAATTTTTTTTTAAATAACCAAATCTTCTCGTCTGACTCCCAAAGTTTACGTACACTATTTCCGGTTTATGGGAAAAAGAAGTCAGACAATCAATAGCACTATACACAGAAGTGTTAAGTGCCACATTCTTTCAAAATGCTCCCCTGTAAAATCACATATGTGGATATGTGATTTTACAGGGGAGCATTTTAAAAGTTTAACATTTAACCATTGTTTTAATTATGAATTTAAAGACTCAATTAATACATTATCACTGATTCATCATTTATGTAAAAAAAGTTTGATAGCTTTCTAGCATCTGTATTTAAAAAAGAGAAATATGACAAAATAAACCTACACGTTAGCACTTACCACATTTGGCATCTTTATAAATGTACTTACCAAAAATATGTCCTTACAAATTGTGGACGCACATTTAATTACTATGTTTTTTTTTTAATGATATTCTAGTTTACTGAAAAATAGATTAAAACTAAGTATTTATGTACATAAAATAAAAAAAAAACATTTTTATTTAATAAAACAGAACTATTAATTAAATTTATATCAATTAATCAGGGAATATCTTCATCTGGATCGCAACTTGTTCCTCTGGATGTTGAAAGCAGCAAATTGTAGAAATATTTATAATTCACAGGGATAACAGCACTACAGATTAATGACTTTTAATCTTTATTTTTTTTCTCAATAATTGGAAGCAGACGTGGATATGCCTCTTTTAATATAATTTTATTCCAATTCTTCACCTGTTAAAAAAAACTATATATATTAGTTTATTGAGTTGAACATTGTAATTTAACATAATATTATATAAGCTGTAATATTGATACCTGAGCATTACTCTTCTTGTTAATATCAATCTCAAAAAAATGCTCATCCAATTGATTATATTTGTGTTGGATAATGTAAGGTTTTCCTTTTTCAAAACGCAGAAACTTTATTTATATATATATTTAGCCACTTATTATCAACCAATTGACGGTGTCGCCAAGTGTATTTTTGGTTGCGTTGTGCATAATGTCTTTTGCATGCTCCTTAAGGTCATAAAAGTTGTTATGATGAAGCGCTTGTACACTGTAAGGTTTTGGGTTAATGCGTATCGTGGATATAAGCAGAGTCCATTCTCTCATGGTATATAAATTCTTATGTTTTCTTGCCCCTTCTATAGTTGAATGCATTGCATCTGCTTCTAAATAGGAATGGCCGGATTCCATAAATTTCAAATCTATTATCTTTAGATTATTTATTTTATTGACACCATAAAACATGGCAGCTGACACATGCTTGTTATCATTTTGCGTACCGCATGCGTCTGAAAACGAAGCAACATGGTTGACTGTTGTGGGTAACAAAAAGAAATATTGGAGAATGCATCTGCCTATTTCACTGCGCATTAAATTCATCCCATAGATAGACAAACCCATTTTTTGATGGATATTCAAATATTTTAAAATTGTACGCATTCAGCTTTCTCTTGTAATATATTTGCGAATCCCCAGCATACGGCGTAGTTAATATACTCTGCAGATCAAACGTTACAGCTTTAAAAGTCTGCGGACGACCTATTTTTGTTTTCCTACTTCATTTCATAGAATTGCTTGAAACTGGTGTGTAATAATCCTCGATTGTTTTTCATCCTGTAAATTTTTAATACACATATCATTTAAAAATTTATTTCGTTTTTTCAAATGAGATTTACTTATAGACGGAGTAAGCTCTGTAGAGAAATTCTTTAAATATAGCGGTTAAAATATTAAAATTTTAATTTAAATGCAGTTTAATCTGAATGTTAGCCATTTTCGATATACTTTGTACTGATATTTTTCTATTGTGTTATTTATAATGGTTTTATTGAGAAAGATAAGCGTTTTTGTCTCGGTTTCAATTTCAATTATGTATTATATAGCACTGCAGGGGGGTGTCTAGGGGATGTCTGCTACGTCGTTGGACGTACCCAAAAAAATTAAATAAAAGTTTTTTAACTTGATTATATTGTTGAAAAAAATCTTACTATATGTAATTATTAAAACCATACTACAGACAAATTATGCACGGTTAATTATCTGAAACGGTTGGAGAAAAATTGAAAACGGGAAAACGGTTCAAATTCCAAAATATTAAAAACCGGAAAATATTATATCGGTTTCATAATTTTGCGATTGTTAAAAAATAATAATTACAATATTTTGATGGAGGTTAAACTAACTTTTGAGTTAAATAACTTAATTAGAAACTTGAATTGTAATACCTTATTTTATTTTGTTATATAAAACTTTATTATTTTAATTTTTTTTTTTCATAGGTTTAAAAAAAATTAAAATAATTATTTTAGTTAAAACAAACTTTAGACTTCCCTTTTGATATACACCCTGAGTAAAATTTTTATCAAGTTTTATTGTTTAACTATCACCAGGAGGTTAAATTACTTAATAACAACAAGTATATATTAAAATATATAAATGGACATCCCCAGTTTTATTACACTAGGCTGTGTATCATTTTAATAACTTGCATTTGAAGTAATAAATAAGGAGAAAAACGGTTTCAATTGTGAAAAATAAATTTTGGACTTCCCCTTCGACAAACACCCTGAGTAAAATTTTTGTCAAGTTTTATCGTTTAACTATCATCAGGAGGTAAAATTAGTTTGTAACAACTAGTATATATCAAAATATATCAATTGACATCCCCTGTTTTATTACACTAGGTTGTGTATCATTTTAAGAATTTGCATTTGAAGTAATAAATAAGGAGAATAAAGGTTTCAAATAAAGAAAATAAATTTCGGACTTCCCTTTTACTATACACCCTGCTTAATTTGTGTTTTATTAAATTAATTAATTTTATTAAACATGTAACATGGCCGATGATTACTTCAAAATGTCGCTTAATTTGCAAGCTAATATAGCATTTTAAAGAAAAAGTTAGTATGTTAAAGAAAAGCATCATTTCCTATAAGTTAGGCGAACAAATATTATATTAATTGTGTAAAATTTTTTATATCACGATATCCTTCTGATACAAGAAAAGAAGACATAGAGTTGTTACAAGTAGAAGCTGTTTATAGTTGCATCGATAAAAACTAGTATTTGGTTTTCTTTATAGTTTTTTTAGTTTGCAAATATCATATTTTGAGCTTTAGTGACCATTTTATCAATGTTACAAGTCATTTAAAGAAAAAAAACATTTTTATAAAATACACTCAGTCCAGTCAAAATCCGGACCCCCTCCCCCTCTCTAAAAAAATAAAGAGGCAGAGGGGGGGACATAGTTTTTTTTTTTTTTTGGACTTACCCAAAAAATTTCCTGTACACGCCCCTGAGCACAATGTTGTTAATTTAAAATGTCTTGGAATAGTTTTACTTGTTTGATCTTAGGAAATCTTGCATGACTATCGTCAACAAAATGTAAAAATTATTTTAGATTAAATGCAGGATTTATTGTCAACGCCATTTTAATTGCATTATTTTCATGGAATTGTAGAAAAGATTCCGGAATAACTATTATGGAAAAGAGTCCAATTGGACCTGAGCTCCAATGAAACAGGTCCATTACGTGAATCTGATTGTTCCAATGAAAATAAAACTAATAGGAAAAGCGGGGCAACATGGCGAACGTTTTAAAAGCCCTGAGTTATTGAAAAACTATAAGTCGTGAAGCCATAATACTTTCTCAGTATGTTTATGCTATTAAGTTCTTTCATTGCCTGCATGAATTTTCAGTTTGCAAATATAACAATTTGAAATAAATATTAAAATAAAAAGTTCATAAATTTGTCGTCTGGTCACGTGACCGGGGCAAGATGACTTATTATACAATTTTTACCTCCAATTTTATAAAATTTTAAAAACTGCCAATAATTCTAATTAAAGTAACAAAAAATAAGCACAAATTGCAAAAACTTCTTCTAAAAAAGTAAAACTTGAAGGACACCAACCATTATGAGAAACCGAAAGAGAGGAATTTTTTTTTAAGCGCAAAAAGTAAACTTATTTGTATAAAATGGCGTTAATAATATTTCAAAAAACCAATTGGTGTTTTAAAATACAAGATGCAAATACAGTTTCGTTTTCATCCAATTTTAAAATTTTTTGTTGAATTGTTATATGAAAACCCATCTTGCCCCATTCGCCATGTTGCCCCGCTTTCCCCTATAAGCACAGTTCAATGAGTTGTTTTGTTTCTGTTATACTAGCTTTGTTAAGTTTTTATATGATAAACTGTTATTTGATTGTTCAATATTCTTTTTAATGGAATTGACGGATACAATTTACAACATCAAAAGACACCTGAACCTCATAAAGTCAAAGTCAAAAGAGTTTTTTTAATAGTGTGAGATTTTCATATAAGACTTATTCTATTGTCTTAACTGAGAATTCTGATATTCCGTAGTTTGGTGTCCCAATGGTAAAAATAATTACGGTTTATGAGCTTTGATTACTTCATACATACGAGGTGGGATAAGATCACTTGGATATATTTTTTCGTATTCTTTCTTTAGAAAAACGTTATTTTTATTTATATTTATATTATAGTTGGTAGTGACCGTTTTAAGACAACTTTAAGACGCTATTTCTACAACTTAGAGAGTTATTCATTCTTATAAGCACTATTAATTTTTATATGCGTGTCTATTCATTTTTATATGCGTGTTTATTGTCTATTTATTTTTATATGCGTGTCTATTCATTTTTATATGCGTGTCTATTCATTTTTATAAGCGTATTTATTTTTCTTAATTGCGTATTTATTTATTCTTATTTGTGTGTTTATTCATTTTTATATGCGCGTTTATATGCGCGTTTATATGCGAGTCAACAACCCATAAAATCTCTAGTATAATTTTATATAAACAACAAATAGACTTTTATGTTTTCATATAGATATATTCAAAATATAAATTAGGTTGTTGCCACTGCTATTTATTTAAAAAATAGTTGCCGAGCCAGCGCTGGACTCTGTAGTATTCATAACACTTTTAAGTTTCTTGATTACCCCATCCGTATATTGAGGCCTTTCTCCCTGTTTGTAAGTATGCTTTAAAGAAGAAGAACTTTTTTTTATCTAATTAAGCTATGACGTGTATGCTGGCAGATATTTAATAGCTATGACATAAGAGATTAGTGTTTGCCTAACAGAAAGATTCTAGTGAAATTTACAATTGTCCATAAAAAGTACCGGCGCTTCCTTATCTGCATTCATAATCGCTGGTGCCAAAATATTATAGTAATGAAAATACAAAATGAATCTGCATTCCAGCCTCGAGTTTTTTTTTTATAAGCCAGCGCTCCCATTGTTGAAACAGCACAAATCAAATTAAAATTCTTGCCACGATTTGCAGACGACTGTAAAATAGCTAGTTCATCTCTTAGCAACCAACCATATGTGCTGTTGGTGTGCACATTAAATCTAGTTTCATCCAAAAAAATAAGTTTTTCATTTAAAATTCCATAAGTTTTGCTTGCAAATGCATTGTGTGCCTCAATAACTCGTGTTGAGTTTCGTTCTTCTGGCACATGCACAACACGCTTTCCTGATAAATCCGAGTAAAAAGGTTTTTTACTTGTATGCATAATTCACTTATGTTTTTTATTTGAGCATTTATACGTCGTTTACCTCGTTTTTTATGAGAAAACGACTTAAACGCAGTCATGTTGTCGAGTTTTCTCTCTTTAGCTTAATGACAAGAATTTGAAGTGTACGCTTAGATAAATAAGTAGAAGTGGCTTGTTGTAGATTCATTTCTTTTAACTAAATGCTAAAGCATTTCAAAGTGCTCTTTAGTAACATTTTTCCTTGTTTTTCTATAGGCACTGCTATTTTCTTCTCCATCCATTGGGTAAATATTTGTGTATTAATAATAATTATATATAGTTAAATTTAAGTCTAGATAAATGAATAATTAGATAAACAATAATTTAATCAATCAATAAATTTAATAATAAAATTAAACAAAGAAATTAAGTTAGAAAATGAGGTTAGTTTGTAACTTAAACAAACCATCATTGAATGTAAAAAGTCTTCGTTATAAGTATTTTTAACCTCGTTTACCAGAAAACAAGAACAATTTGTTTTAAAAAAACTGTTTTTTTAAAACAAATTGTTTTTTTTCCTGGTAAAAATATGTTTTTTTTAATAACGCATATAAGAAAGAATTAACACGCATATAAAAATGAATAACTCTGTAACAACTTAAATATACCATTACTTAATGTTATTGGAGTTTTCTTAAATTATAATTTATGAAAACTCTATAGCGTTAAATAATGGTAAATTTAATTTGTTAAGTTGTAGAAATAGCATCTTTAAGTTGTCTTAAAACGGTCACATTTCTCCAAAGAAGATACATTTTAGGGTCGTCCATAATTACATCATGTAATTTCAATCATTTTTGACCCCTCCCCCTCTTTACATTATTATAGGAATTTAGAAATATTCGTATGAGTCGTCACAAACCACAACCCCCACCTAATCCACCTAGGGTGTGGCGCAAGTTATCGACGACTCCTTACACAAAATTGCTTAGAGTGTTTAAAAACTTAAGTCTTTAAGTACTTTAATCAATTTTGTGTAAAATGTCTTTTTAACGGAGAAATGTGATTATTTTGAAGGAGAAATGTGACTATTTTGACGGAGAAATGTGATTATTTTGACGGAGAAATATGATTATTTTAAGATGTGTTGAATGTGATTATTTTAAGATGTGTTGAAGACTATCAAATTATTATTCTATAATGATTTGATAGTCTTAAACAAATATTCTATTAAAAATAAACACCGAAAAGCCGTCTTTTAAACGAATAAAAACTTTTGTTTGCTGGTTATCTATATTAAGTCTTAAATAATTTTTAAAATAATTTTATAAATAATTCTTTAATAAAACGTTCTAAAGCGATCTTGAGCAAGACGTCTTTAAGTAGACTTACGGGGCTTAGTGATAGGACAACTATAGTTTTCTTTTTGCTCCTGTCATTTTAATTTTTATTTATTTATTTTGTTATTGTAATTATTATCCAATGGTGAAATATATATAATAATAAATAAACTTGAATAAGACATCTTTAAAAATATTGAGTAAGACGGAAAAAGTAGGTCTTTTTAAAATATCTTAAAGATTTTTCGTTTCATCTTAAAAAGACGTCTTTAAGACAACTAACTTATAAACTTAATAATAAATCTAATAAAAATCTAATAAAACTAATAAATCGTCCTACCAGAGTAACTCCAAAATCAGCTACTCTAATTGATAACATTCTAACAACTGATATTTTTAACTGTGACATTATTAAAGGTATCTTAAAAACAGACATATCTGACCATTTCCCTATCTTTTTTACCATTAACTTCAACTCTAAAATAATGACTAAAACAAACATAAAAGTTAAATTACGTAACTATAATCAAAAAAACGTTGAGCAATTTAAAACACAATTACCATTGCTCCATTGGAAGAACATCGACTTTAGTGATAATACAAACAACATTTACGATAATTTCTTTAATATATTTTACTCTGTTTATGATGCTAATTTTCCTTTATATGAAAAAACAATAAATCAAAAAAAGATTAATTCTCCTGGTTTAAAAAATTATCAAAAGTTAAGCAGAAATTATACATAAAATATCTAAAAAACAAATCACTCGCCTATGAGAAAATATACAAAGATTACAAAAATCTTTTTGTAAAAGTTCGAAAAAACTTAAAAAAAAATTACTATTCTAAAATTCTCAATAAAGCAAAAAATAACTGTAAACGCATAAATAAAAGAAATTACCAGTAAATCTAAATCATGCTCAGGTTCCCTGCCACACATGATCAAAGTGAATAATAACAATATAAATAGTTCTGAAACAATAGCTCATGAATTCAATAAATTTTTTGTTGAAATTGGCCCTAAACTATCTAAATTAATTCCTAATACAGAAGTCTCATTTAAAGATTTCTTATTACCGATGGATAATTGCATTCACTCGGATGAGTCATCTAAATAGTTATTATTTGATGAGTTCGAAAAAGCCTTTAAAACACTAAAAAAAAATAAAGCAGTTGGACCGGATGAAATCAATGGTAACATAATTTTAGATTGCTTTTAACAAAAAAATATATTCTTTTTAAATTCTTGATCTTCAATAGAACAAGAAGTCTTTCCTGATCAATTGAAAATTGCTAAAGTAATTCCAATTTTTAAAGGTGGTGACAAATCTGATATAAGTAGTTACCGGCCTATTTCTATCTTATCTATATTTTCAAAAATACTACAAAGAATCATGTTTAATGCTTTAAAAAAAATAACTCAACAGAGCATGCAATTATTCAGTTTGTGCGTGAAATTTCTTATTCTTTTGAAAAATCTCAATTTACATAAGGAATTTTTATCTATCTTTCAAAAGCATTTGATATTGTCGATCATGATATTTTACTTTATAAACTTAGTTATTACGGAATAAATGAAAGAGTAATTAAATGGCTTCAAAGTTATTTATCAAACAGAAGACAATTTGTTTCTTGTAATGAACTTAATCATATACAGTTTTTAAATGTTTCCTGTGGTGTTCCGCAAGGTTCCATCTTAGGCCCTCTTTTATTTCTAATATATATCAACGACTTGCATAAAGCATCAAATCTTCTAAGTATTATGTTTGCTGATGACACAAACTTATTTCTCTCTAAAAGTGACATTTATCTCCTTTTCTCCATGATGAACAAAGAACTTCAAAACATATCTAAATGGTTTAAAAGTAACAAATTAACATTAAATATAACCAAGACAAAATGGATTTTTCTCCACCCGCTCTCCAAAAAACGTTTTCTACCTCCAAATCTACCAAAAATTCTAATTGACTATATTAAAATTAAAAGAGATTCTGTAATTAAATACCTGGGGGTTTTTATTGACGAGAACATCACATGGAAACATCATATTAACTTTGTTTGCTCAAAAGTTTCAAAAAGTATTGGAATTTTATATAAGACGCGTACTCATTTAGATAAAATTAATTTAACTAAACTTTATTACTCTTTTATCCACAGTTATATAAGTTATGGAGTTATAGCTTGGGGTAGCACTGATCAAAGCAAGTTACAATGTCTCTATCGCCGTCAGAAACATGCGATCCGTTTAATTAATTCTGCGGATCGGTTCGCACATTCCTCAATATTTTAATCAAATTAAAATCTTAGATATATATAAACTAAACGTATATAAAAATTTATATTTTGCCTATATGTGGAAGCATAATTTATCTCCTTTGATTTTGAAAGATCTTTTATTTTGAAACCATTAAACAAGTTTAACACGAGGAATAATAATTATTTAAATGAACCATTCTGTCGAAGAAAATTCAATCAATTTTGTATCACTTATCGTGCAGCTCATCTCTGGAACAAAATTATTTTGCCTAATTTCGATTTACCCCTAACTTATCCTGTTTTTAAAAATAAATTAAAAGACCACATTCTTTCTATTGAAAATATCTTAGAATACTTTTAATTTATTTTGTGATAAAAAACAAAATAATAATAATTTTTATTGTCAAGTTATTGTCATGTATGTTCAAATTTTGTTTTAAACTTGTTTACAATTTATTTTCATTTATGTAAATACAATTTATTGTTTTTATATGATTTTTTACGTACTTTTATTGTAAAAAGGAGTTTTTAATCAACGTACTCTTTTTTGTAAAAGGCTTCTGACGATAAGATCATTGTGATCTTCTTTTAGAAGCCTTGTTTGTATTTGAAAAAATGTTTAATTTATATATTACGTCAAATGTAAACAAAAAAAAAAAAAAAAAAAACTTAAAATATTTTATAAAAATATAATATATATAAAAATATATAAAATTTTTTTTGCTACTTACGCTTACGAAAGTAGCACTTGCAAAACGAGCATTTTCGCTAAACGACGTTTTGAGGTCATTATAGAAAGTTTGTTGGCTAAACGGACGTAATTATAAAAAATAAAAAATTTATATACCAAAATGTTTATAATGAAATTTTATTTTTAGTAATGGAATATATTAACATTTAAAGGTGTTAATTTTTGAAATGGTAAAAAACCATGTTTGAAATGATAAAAAACTATGTTTCTTTCGTACCGCAACCTGCGAAACAGTTTTTAATGGAAAAAACTTAGGAAACGCGGTATAATAAATATATTTAATTACGTTTTATGCATAAAACGTAATTCATATATGAATCAAATACGCATAATTAACTAAGTAACTAAAACTCTAATTTTTATATGAAGTTTCAGTTGTAAACTTTAATAAAAAAACTTTCATAAAATAAACTTTTCAAAAATGTCTTTAAATGAATAAGAATTAAATAATTAAGATGACGTAAACAATGTTAATATACGAATGCGATTGCGTAATCGGAAAACAATGTCTTTGTTGAAATAAAAAAAAAGACCTTATTTAAGTAATGAATACTAAAACTTAATTATATAATAAAATGTTAAAAATAGCTCTCACTTGTTTTCAAATAGAATGATTTAATGTTTAGTCAGTTTCAATTTTTTTAGTTTTGAAGTGTTATGTTATTCGAGCTTTCGCTTTTATTACCTTAATAATAACAAGTAAATTCAAAAAAATTTTAAAGACATCCTTTTCAAAGATTTTTTTCTAAAATGTTTTCTTTTATAAAAAAAAAAAAAAAATTAGGGTGGGAACATAGTAAAGGCACTTGCTCCCCTTTGTATCGTTAGCCCAGGAAAATGTTTTAAAATACAACTTTCCAACGTTATTAGGGCTATAGAACTGCTGAAAGTTTTATAGTTCTAGCATTTTGGAAGGTAGTGAAAAATTAATAGCAAGATCTTTTAGTAAAAAAGCGGGTAACTGCAATGCAATCCTTCCTCGGGTCTTCGTCCCTGGATACAATATTAACATTGAAGCTCACCAAGACTATACAATCGCTGAAAGTACCAGAGCTGTAACTAGTCTGAGAGGTAATTGCAACATTCAATAAGAACTAACAACGGCCAAATATCACTTAAAATTAAATTGAACTTTGTGATGGAACCAAATATTTTACTGGATTTTTATATATGAAAGTATAAATAGTAAATCTCCATATATATATATATCTGTGTGTGTGTGTGAGTGTTTAAGAATGCTTTCGTTTAATTTATGTTTAATAAATGTTTTCGAGTCTTTTCCGTTAGCACATATTCCGAAACGCTCCTTCCGTAAGGAACTGTTTCGCAAGTATTCCTTTGAAATGATTTGTTCAGCAAGTTTCTTTTCGTAAAGAGTTATTACGGAATAATTATTTATTTCGTACAAAGCGTTACGGAAGGTGAATTTGGGCATGTACAACTTCCGCAATAGCAATTTGAAATACAGAAGATAAAAATGCGAAATTTTCTTAAGTTTTTGTTTGCAGCGAACAACCCTAATATAAATTTTTAAAGTCTAATATAAACCTTTAAAATCACTTTTAAATATAATATACTTTTTAATATAATATTTTAAATATAATATACTTTTAAATTAATATTTTTATAATATTAAATATAAGATTTAAAATAATATATTTTTTAAATATAAATTTTTAAATTAATTAACTAATTTTTAATTTGAAACCGCGAGTATATTGTAAATTAGTCACAATTGCAAATTTTATGATGTGTTAACGTCACGCGGTTAGCACAATAAAGACGGGAAAACTGTGTTTTAATAGTTTGATTAAAGTTAGTACATAAATGATTTCAGTTTCAGAGTAAAAATGATTTTAAACAAAAACTTACAGTATTAGATTTGTTGCTGGAAATTTTATTTTTAGTGCTTTTCTAATTTTTCACTTATCTAAAAAAGTATGATAATTTTTGTTAAACTCATGGTTGGTTTGGAAATTGCTGTAATTACTAAAAAGTGAAAGAAAGATGGAAAAACTAACAAAACTTATTATAAGATACTCTTCTTACTTGCGTATTAAGATGATAATAATTTATATTAACTTTCAAGATAATAAATAGTTTAACTAAAGTTACGGATATTAACTTAAACTCTTTGGATGTCTTTTAAAGATGTCTTAAAATTTAAGTGCGGTTTAATCGGAAATTACTTTCTATCAACAGTTTATGCGTGCAACCGTTCGTTTTGCGGAATGGCTGCTCCAAAAAAAAATTATTTATTTGGCATTATTTTCTGCACATATACTTTTCTAACTGCATTTTTTGGCTCTATATTTATAATGGGCCCTTTTTTACCTTTAATGCTTATAAACATGAAATGGTTTCGTACATGCATGGACTTTGCTATTAATCTCTGGCTAATATTACCTGGGGTAGCTATTTTTTACTTTTTTTGTTTATTTATTTTTATATTTAAATATTTGTAAAATAGTAATAATTTTTTTATTTATTTATCTTGGTAATCTTGATGACGATTTAACATGATTTAAACAGGCTCTATTTGGTATGAATATTTTGTATTTGTATTTGAATTTATTTTATTTCTATTTAAAATATTTTGCAGTTTTCTAGTTGATATTTTTATGAATATTAATTGTATTTTTGAGAAATGTATAAAAATATGTTCAAATAAATATTTTGAATATGTAGCTTGTGTGACAATTGCATAAATGACTCTCACCACCACTACTATATTTTATTGCACATAGTTATGATAGTTGTTAAGCTAACTACAATATTTAGGTATTTTGATTAAAAATTCAATGTAATAATTCAATTACAAAACAAAAATTATGTTACATGGAGCTTAATGAGAGCTTTCCAATAACACCTCATTTATCTGTCTATGTTAATTATGACGGAAGTTGTGATTTTTTTTCCATGTGTAAATAGGGTCATTTTTGCTATAGAAAATAAGAAAAACTGACCACAATTTTGTGTTGTTTGCACTGAAAACCGCATAACTAAAAAACAACTGAAATAATATAATAAAATTTAAAACAGTGGTTCATCATTAGTAAATTTTTATTTTAAAACATTTTTTATGAATCAAATAGCTTATTTTCATCTTATCAGATACAAAAAACAAAGTGGGGTGGAGAGGACTAGAAACTAGATAACCAAGAGCAACGTCAGCCAAGAGGCTATCTACTGGTACTTTAAAGTCTTCTGCATCATCTTCTTCATCCTCTTTCCAATATGCAGTTCTAAAACTAGCAATTTTTCCAGTAGCAGGTGATAACTTTATAACTATTCATCCCTTATAATCTACATCATTTTCTCCTCATTCCATAAATGTTAAACTCTAGCTCCTTTAATTTTACCTGGATCCTCGTTTAACATTTCTAATACTTTGACCTGTTTTCTAAAATACGTTTTTTATATCTCTAGCTAATCTATTTCTCTGTTCCATTTCTTTCTTCAGACCTTTTTCTTTTAACCGTCACTTTCAACTCTTCTCCTTTCAACCTTCTCTCTTTCCCTTGTTTTCCTGAAACTGCACCCCTAAGTATACAAAATGTAACTATTTTTTCTTGCTCTGTTTTTGCATTATTACACAGCTATTCCAGAGATTTGTTTTACCTTAACCTTTGTTTTTCCATCTATAAATGAAATTTCAGTATTGGGTGCCTTGCTTGTAAGGAAGTCTGTTATTTCGAGAGTTCTCTCAGCCCAAGTATTATTAACAAAGGGCACTAATGGCCTTATCTTGCATGAACTGGGATGGTGTAGAGAGTTCACCAGTCGAGTAACTTGACAGCTGCCTTTTTAAAACTGTCATTGTATCATTAACTATCATTTTTAATACAGAAAGCAGTTGCTCCAAATACTTCCGGGGTAATTCCATATGAAATCACCCAGTCCATTGAACCATGTGTCTTTTTGTGTTATATTTTGACACATGATTCATAAAAAAATATTGCATGTAAATGTTGAGCAGTTGACAAGATACTGCAATTTTAATATTGACCTGGTTTCCCAAAATGACCTGGTTTTCATAACATTCTGATAAAACATTTTTCTTAAAAAAATAAGAAACAAAAATGGTAAAAATATAAAAATGAACATATATAGTATTTTTTTGATGCTGAATTCAATAAATGTTCTTAAAATGCTGAAATATTAAAGAAACATGCTTAAAAGTTAATAAAAGAACTAGTTTCTATAAACCATTTTTGAGGCCCAATATCTCAAAACACCCCTGTCATTTTTTTTTTTTTTTTGCTATTAATATTTTGCTGCCCAATGAGACAGTCTAGTGTGTACCACGGGTGGTACAAGCCGGCGTGAACGTGTTAATCGTAATTTAAAAAGTGACTTAAATATACAAGATTCTAAAAGGTATCGAAGATGTTATTTTGACTGTGTTTGTAATAAGTCATTGTTGCTATTTTACTTTTACTTCTATTTCAGCATTTTCAAAAATATAGTTTTTACCGGAACTAGAGCAAGCAGATAGTTTTTTCAATATGTTCATGTTAGGAATAAAACAGTAGTTGACTTTTTCAAGCCAGTTAAAATAGATTGATGGACCTTTTGGGTGGAGAAACTTAACTTTAGCATCAATTTCTTCTAGGTTGGTTTCAGTTACTATGCCAATCCACTACTTATCATCATAGACTACAGCTACCTCCTAAAGTGACAGTATAAGGTTGAAATATATCTTGTTTCTTTTAAAGATTGTGTTTTTTTTTTTTTTTTTTTTTTTTTTTTTTTCAACATCTTCACTTCCAACAAGGCTGCAAGCAACCACTATAAGAGTTGGAAGTTACTGGAAGAGAAAAGACTAAATCTGTAGAGCAAGATAACGATTGACTGATGACTTAAAAGATTGCAAATTATATGAATCAGGAAAGCAAGATGAAGGAAGCGAATTCCAAAGAATTGATGTTCGAGGAAAAAAACTAGAAGAATAAGAGTTTTTAAAGCACTTAGGAACAGTCACAGAAGAAGGATGAGACTTAATTGAATGGCGAGTAACACGAGAATGAATTTTAGTAGGTGACACAAGGGACGCTAGCTCTTTAGAGCAGTGCCCATTATAGTATTTGTAGAAAAGAGAAAGAGAAGCAACATTACGACGATGTGACAAAGGTTGGAGATTGGCTGCCAGAGCAGGTCCAACTATGTTTACAATTCGTTTTTGCACCTTGTCTAAAAGAGAAAGAGCATCATTAGAAGATCCGCCCCAGATGTGGCAACAGTATTCCATACAGGGACGGATTTGAGATTTATAGAGATAGAGAATAGAATCTGGAGTAAGAAAGTGTCGAGCTCGATAAAGAGATGCAACCTTAGCAGATGCTAATTTTGCAATGTATTTGATATACGGTTTAAAAGAAAGATCAGAAGTAAGAGTTAATCCTAGAAGATGAATGGTAGATGACTCATCTAGTACATTACCATTCATAAATATAGGAAGATCTAAATTATTACGATAGCGATTGGCCGAATAAAATTGAGTTTTATCTGAATTAAAGTTCACCAGCCACTGTGAGCCCCATGCTGTAGCATAAGTGAGATCCTTTTCAAGCTCAGATACCCCCTCCAAGCAATCAGAGAGTGTAGGCTTCTTATCATGACAAGAGTAAATGGTAGTGTCGTCAGCAAATAATGCCACCTTAGATGTGAGAATATCTGGAAGATCGTTAATGTAAATTAAAAAGAGTATACGGCCAAGGATTGAACCTTGAGGAACCCCTGAAGTTACAGGATGTGAAGAAGAGTGTTGTCCATCGAGGACAACTTTTATACTACGATTGGAAAGAAAGGACTCAATAATCTTAAAGACATTACCAGCTACACCATAAGAAGAAAGCTTATGGAGAAGACCAGCATGCCAAACTTTATCAAAAGCTTTAGAAATGTCAAGTGCGATAGATATGGTTATTGTATAATAAGCTTTTATTGTATAATTTCTTTTATTAACTTTTAAGCATGTTCCTTTAATATTTCAGCATTTTAAGTACATTTATTGAATTCAGCATCAAAAAACTATTAGATATGTTTATTTTCATACTTTTGCCATTTTCATTTCTTATTTTTTTAAGAAAAATGTTTTATCAGAATGTTATGAAAACCGGGTCATTTTAGGAAACCTGGTCAATATTAAAATTGCAGTATCTTGTTAACCGCTCAATATTTTTAGCTGAAATTTTATGTGGTAAATTTTCTTTTTAACATGCAACACCTTGTTAAAAAGATGTTTTTAAAAAATTTGAGGACCCATGGTTCAAAATTTCCTAGATTTTGAGTGATTTGATGCGGAATTACCCTCCCTTCAATAATGCGTAATGCAACCAATGTCTCATCAGAAATCAGTGGGCAACCATATGCATCTAACTGTGACGACAATAGAAATTCTGGCTTATCATAAAGTCTTTCCACAACTTTTAATTGCAGACTTAAGATACTCAGCCTAAAAAGAATTTATTTTTTATTAGAAGTTATTTTTTTAGATAATAAACAAATACATGTATTAAATGTTTAAATTACATTGTGAGAATATAAAATACTTGCATACCAATTCGAAATGTTTTCTTTGCTTTTCCTCTGCATAAAAAGGGGCCATCCAAGGTCCTGTTAAGAGTTTACCCCAGAGTCCAAGCGCTTCTAGATGTGTCATTATCTCCTTTTTTATGAGTAGAGATTCATTATCTCCTCATTCTTAGTAGAGATGTCCTCAGTGAAGATGTGTTGTTGCAGTACTTGTACAACTTCTCCAGATAGTTGACTAGTAATTGTCTGTGCCTAAAATAGTGTAAAACAGAATAAAACAATTTATGCATTTGCTATTGGAAAAATCAAGTGCATGGACTAGACAGTTGAATACCAATTGTCTGTACCTGTATACAATGCCAGCTAAATAAAACAGTATGTGCAATTGGATCTCCTTTGGCTTTGTATCTGAAATACAATAATGCAGACTTATAATATAGCAAGCAATTAAACTCTAATTTTATAAAAAAAAAGTAAAAATATATAGTTTGTTTACATTATTTAGATCAAATACATAATTTAAAAACTGACCTTTGAAATGATGTACAAAAGATTTGCAGGTATGTTGCTTTCAAGACGATGATAAACTACCAGATGCACTGAGACATTGAAATTTTTCTTTTCTTTTGTAAAACTTGAACCATTTTCAATCTGATTGATGTCTCAGTTTAGATGGTCCATGGTAATATCATTTTCTTTTAATGCTATGTCTTGAGCTCTAAGATTTTTTTTTAAATCTAAAATAGTAAATTCTAATGTCAGCCTTTTTTTCTTACTACTTTTATTTTCTTTAACCAAACTTTGGCATTTAAGGTTCAACTTTTTCAAAGATTTTTTTAAATATGTAACATCAGCTTCAAATTTTTGGGTCTTCAACTGGTATTTTGAGATCTGGCTTGAAGTTTTTTTAATTTGTTGGTTCACTCTCTTAACTTAAAAAGTCTTACTGATTGTTGTTTTCTCTTTTTTACTGTTTTGACCACTGTCTTGAGCTTTTTGTTTTGC